GGTAGAGGAGGATGCCCGTGATGATGAGATCTGGTTTAATCTACGAATCTATCTGTCTATCAATCTATGATATGCGTTGAGTTGGCTTTCAGCGTTTCAGTCCGAAGTTAGACCCAACCTCCTAGACAACGAGTGTATTCCACGCTACCTTCTTTTTATTTCTTCAACATCTGGTAACTTATTTTATTTTTGGTTTAAGTATCATTTTGGTTCCTCAGCTTTTTATTTTGATATAAAATTATCCTTAAACTTTCATTTTCGGTACCAAAATAGTCTTTCTGTCAGTTAAGTGACAGATAGCATGTTATCTTGCCACAAAATCACTAAAACTTTTCAATTTTAACTACGTGTAAATTCCAGCTAAGAAAATTTAACATTTTTTATTATTATTTCATAATTTTTCAAAACTAAAGACAAAAAATATGAACTTCATCTCCTTTTTTTATTCTTTTCTCTCTCTTATTGATTTTTCTTCCTCTCCAAAACAAACACAGATTTGCCCAATGATGGAAACTCATTAAGTGGAGATTACTTTGGTTTTTTTCATGAGCCTCCATGCTTTCTTCCACTCATCAGTTTTAGCTGCTGCTATTGCTGCTTCGACTGTTGCCGCTTCTTCATCAAAACAAACCCAGTCGGGGCTTGAGACAAACTCTACATTTCTTGGATCTTCGTTGCCACCTGATCCGCCTTTGCATCCAGCTCCTTCTTATTTCCTCCCCCATCACCCCCTGTTTCTTCATCTTCAAGATTTGTCGATGTTTCCTCTTCTTCCACACCTTCTTGCACAACCCCGTGGGTACCTTGTAGAACCCCAGCACCAGTAGCTCCATCATCGTGCACGAACAACAATAGCAAACACGCCGCGCACTCTGCCGTCTCTGCACCCACCACATCTGCAAACCTCCTCCCTTTTGTCGCCCTCAACGATGATATCGATGACTTAGTACTGTCGTCCGCGAATAGAAGTGGCTATGTCTGCTCGTTCACCGGCGTCAATCTCATCAAAGTTTGACGAATCATGTTTGGTGAGATGGGTATCAAAGAAACCGAGATTTCTTGGATTTTTTTATACAACGACAAGAAGAAGAAGCAGCTAAAGAAACTAAAAAAATTCAAAGATAAACGAGTGAAGGGTAGAGAAGAAAAGATCAAGTATTTTTTTTTTCTATTGAAAAGAAAACCATTGAAGGATTTCAGTCCAATCGGAAGATCCTCGCCGTTATCGGCATTTGCCACTGCCTTCCCTCGCCTGATCTCGAATCCGTTGTAGATCAATTCACTGCTACCTACAAAAGTTATAGCTCTACAAAAACCCAGATCTGGGTTTGAGAAAAACCCAGATTTGGAGAGTAAGAAGAAGGGAGAAGAGAGATAGAAAAAGAATAAGAAGAATAAAGAAGAAGGATGAGCAAGGAAAGGAAGGAGGAAGGTTGGTAGAGAATGAGTAGGAAAACCCAGATCTAGGTTTGTTTTGGAGAGGAAGAAAAATCGATAAGAGAGAGAAAAAGAATAAGAAAGAAAAAGTTTTTTTTTTTTTTGTCTTTAAGTTTGAAAAATGATGAAATAATAATAAAAAATTTTAAATTTTCTTATCTGGAATTTACACATCATTAAAATTAAAAAAATTCAGTGATTTTGTGGCAAGATAACGTGCCACATGTCACTTAACTAACAGAAGGACTATTTTGGTATCGAAAATGAAAGTTTAAGGATAATTTTGGTACTTTTTAAAGGTGAGGGACAATTTTGGTGCCAAAGTGAAAAGTTTATTTTTCTGTTTTGATGGGTATATTCTTTATTTTCTTTGATCTTTGTTTATATGTAATTATATATTTTTTTACTAAAAAATAAAATTTTATTATAAAAATTAAGATAAGAACATGTTGTCAAATTACATTGGGAAACTGTCAAAACATTAATTTTTCAATCCCCACTAACACTTGTATTAACCTAATATCTTAAGTAGTTTTTTTCTTTGTACATAAATGGTAATTTTTGTATGCAACTCAAATTAAAAAAAAAAAGTCTAATAACAATAATTTAAATAATTTAATAATAATTTTTTTATTAAAAATCTTTAAAAAAACTTCTATTAATACCAAACATTT